ACTCCCCTTCTGTGTAACGGGGAGAGGGTTGCCTTCCCCCCTATTGCACCTTACGACGTACGCACGCTATCTTTCGCACAACTTTCGCATCAACATTTTGCGAAACCTGGAAGTCTTGCTTGAAAAAATTCATTCGAAAATGACAGGCGCACGGACCAAGGAGAGATCAAAGTCAAAAGTCAAAGAAAAATTGAAAAATTGAAAATCACAAAACTTGCCGAACATCTCACGAAAGTAAGAGCACTACGTAAATTTTACACCTCAAGTTCGAACCCCTTCGTTGATATCACTATTGCCCGGTGAGTGTGATAAGAATCCTTCCAAACGTCAAGAACACATCAAAGGTCAGTGGTCTTCCACTGTTTGCTCGTTGCCGATGCATCAAGACATTTCCTGCCAAGAAAAGGACGCTGCTGGCCTTTTGGCTCGGTTATATCCGGGTGTTTTTATGAACAGCAGAAAAATGTGAAAAGGCAGTGGAGGAATGCCACTTTCCAAGCCTTAAAGATCACATTGTAACTGTAGCTCGGAACGTTCATACATGGTTAAGAAACTGGCCAATGTTTTGTGCTAACTCTACCGTTGCCTTTATTCTTTGTCATTGAATCCCTGCAGAGTCACGGCTTCGAAACAACAGTATTTGGAATTGCGGAAGGCCAAGGCCAAAATAGTCGCTGTTTCCAAGATGATGGCTCCTTTCGACGGTTCAGTTCAACAGCAACAGCAAGGCGTTTCCCAGGCTTCATTGCCAAGACCTCCCATGCCACCAGGTCATGCTGGGCAGTCTTCAGCAATGCACCAACAACCGATGAACCCAGCTTACACCCATGGTCTACCACGGGGAGTTTCCGCTGGAATCCCTCCAGGTGGTCAGACGTATCAAATGCGCCCGCAATCTCCAGGATCTCGTCATGATAGCTTCCAAATGCCTAGTGCAAGCGGCCCACAAGGACAGTATACCTCACATCAACCTCTCCACTCATCGGGTCACCAACAGCAGCCGCAAGGAGGCCAAATACACCCCGGGATGACTCAAATGCATAGAGGATCATCGCAATCGCGAAACGGGCACGTTCTCCCAATGCAACAAACTCACGATAACATGATGGCATCGACCAACGGCAGAAACCAGCAATTCATGGGTAGCTCCATGGGCGGTGGCATGGACAATTCGATGAACCGTTCAATGAATAATACTTTGAATAACTCAATGAATACCTCAATGAATACCTCAATGAATACCTCAATGAACGGTAATTCTATGATGCCAATGGGAAACCCCGTGAACATGATGGGAACCTCTATGAATGCAGGTATGCCAAATATGACAATGAATCCCAATATCGGGGGTGTTGGAGTGATGAATGTGTCAAACGGATCCATGAGATCATCTTCCACACCAATGCTGAATTCGAGCATGCACAGTGGTGGGGGGATGAACGGAAGCTGGCAAACAGATAGAGATACGCAGCACCGAAGAGATATGATTCAACACATGTAAGTTGCCTGTAGCTGTGAATGTTGTTGTTGCCCCATTTGACGACAGTTATCTGATGTCCGACTCTTGTCTATAGTGTGAAAATGCTGAAGAAAGACAGAAATGGATCACCAGAGTGGCTCAGTAAACTACCGCAAATGGCAAAACAGCTAGAGGTCTCTCTTTATAGAAATGCCAGATCGTTTGAGGCGTACACGGACATGAATACTTTGAAACAACGGCTTCAGCAAATAGCTGCAGAAGTATCAAAAAAGGCGAGAGATCAAAGAGACGATCGTCAAAGAGATCGGATTCCATCGTCCAACAATACAAATTCGAACTATATTGGGATGACATCCTCCAATACATCAATTCAGTCAAATTCAATTGGGCCTGGTAGTGTGGCGAACAACAACCCCATGGTGGACATGAATAGTATGAGAGGAAGTCCACACACGCAGATGAGAACGGTAGGTAGCTCTAATTTCCAGGATCAGCGAGCCGCAACTAGTAGCAACAGAACTAGTGCAAGCCGTGGGATGGGAAACTCGCTATCGTCTGGCACAGTATTAAGCTCGTCAGGATCATCAAATCGGGATGATCCTGAATGGAGAGTAAGGATCAGACACAAACAGCAGCGCTTGCTACTTCTTCACCATTCTGCCAAATGTCCTCATGAAGACGGGCGATGTCCCGTGACTCCCCACTGTGCTGACATGAAGCGCCTATGGAAGCATATGGAAGGTTGCAAAGACAATCAGTGCCGAGTACCCCATTGCTTCTCGTCGAGAGCCATTTTGAGTCACTATAGGAAGTGCAAAGATGTCTCATGCCCAGCTTGTGGACCAGTTAGGGATACAGTAAGAAGATCACAGAATCGCAATACATCAAGCTCAAACTTGTCCTTGGGTGAAAATAGGCAATCTAGAACCAACATGGGGGAAGTTCAAAGAATGGGTGCCGATGCGAACACTTCAGCCCATCCAAAACTTTCTTCTCGTGCCAATTCTTACCAACCTTCGCTAGGTAACTCTTTCAACCAATCTCAAGACCCAAAGCCACTAATGCCCCCTTCTGGCGACAGTTTGAAACCGCAATACCCTTCGACCCAATCATCTTCGCAAAACGTACAATCGTCTGGGACAAACAATGAGGTCGTCGGACGACAGTCTTTGCACTTCTGTCAGGGTTTATCGGTCGATAGTGGGGCCGTCGACAAGGGAGCTCGAGAGATGCCAAACGGCAACACAGTGGTGGGGGAGCGACAACAAGACAAGTGCCCTAATCCTCCAACTCGACGAAATGATTCGGAATGGCAAAAAGTTAGGCATAAGCAGCAACGGCTTCTCTTGCTTCGTCATGCTTCAAGATGTCAATACAAGAACAGCTGTCCCGTAACGCCTCACTGTGCCAGTATGAAAAAGCTGTGGGAACACATAGCGCACTGCAAGGATCAGAGGTGTAGCGTCCCACATTGTATGAGTAGCCGATATGTCCTGAGTCACTATCGAAGGTGTAAGGACGCCAAATGTCCTGCCTGTGCGCCGGTGAGAGACACAATCCGAAAAAGCCACGAGAAAGAGCGACAAGGGCAATCTGCTGGTCTCAACAATTCATTTGATACTGAGAAACAGGGGCAGGGGGATTCGTCGACAACAGCATTTGACACTGGTTTTGCTGATAGTTCGGAAATCAGCACTTCTGATGACAATCAAAGGTCCGCGAAGCGCTCAAGATTGGACCAAGGCCTTTCATTGTCCGTTGCTTCGTCCGTCACAGATGTTCATTCGCAAAATGCAAGTAAGTTTGACAATTCAATAAAAAAGGAAACCCTCGTCAATGAGAGCATCGGTGTGAAAGCTTTGCAGTCACTGGAAGGTTTACAAAAGGAGCCCATCCCAAATCCTGCCACTCAAAACGCACAGACTTCAGAGGATAGATCTCTTCTTAACAGCTTCTCAGTGGCTCAGCTGACAACTCATTTGGAATCTTTAAATCGAGTGGCGCAACTCTCTCCTGCAATAATCAAACAGAAATGTTTGGAGGTATTGAAAGGTCTTCAAGCTCATCAACATGGTTGGGTATTTAACTCTCCAGTTGACCCTATCGAGCTCGGTCTTCCTGATTACTTTGAAGTTATCAAGAAGCCAATGGATCTTGGTACAGTATCTAAAAAGCTTGACAGCTGCGCATATCACGAAATTTGTGACTTTCAACGAGATGTCAATCTGACTTTTGATAATGCTATGCGGTACAATGAAGATGGAACTGTAGTCTATGGGATGGCCAAGGAGCTCAAAGATAAATTCAAGGAAGACAATGAGAAGCTATTTGAGCAACTCAAAGCTGAAGATTGGGAGAGACGTCAAAATGATAGGGCATGCGTTCTTTGCGGTTGCGAGAAACGTTTGTTTGAATCCCCCGTTTTTTTCTGCAATGGTTTGAACTGTCAAAGCAAACGTATACCACGAAACAGGTATTACTACATTGGCGGAAACAACCAGTATTTCTGGTGCAATCAATGTTACAATGACCTTGATAAAAACACACCCCTCGAGTTTGTGGATCTTACCGTTAATAAAAGTGACTTGAAAAAGAAGAAAAATGACGAGGTGCATGAGGAAAGCTGGGTACAGTGTGATGTCTGCGAAAAATGGATCCATCAGATCTGTGGGCTTTTCAATACCAGACAGAACAAAGAGCACCAGAGCGAATATTGCTGTCCGCTTTGTCTTCTCGAAAAGAGAAAAAAGGATACCTCTGGTACCCTTCCCCTGCGACCACCTGGTGCGGCTGACTTGCCAAGAACAAAACTGTCAGAATACTTGGAAAAAGATGTCACTAAACGGATTGAAGAGAAGAAACAGGGAAGTGCCGGGAATGCGCAATCAATCAATGCTGGCTCTGTCATCATCAGACAAGTCACCTCTATGGACCGAAAACATGAGGTTCGAGAAAAAATGAAAAGCAGGTACAAACACAAGAATTATCCTGACGAATTCCCTTTCCGATGCAAATGTATCGTTGTATTTCAGCACATCGACGGTGTTGATGTTATTCTATTTGCTCTCTATCTGTACGAACATGGCGAAGACAACCCTGCTCCAAACCAACGTTGTGTATATATTTCATACTTGGATAGTGTACATTTCATGAGACCTCGGCAAATGCGAACATTTGTTTATCATGAGATTCTTATTTCCTACCTGGACTTCGCTCGCCAACGCGGCTTTGCGACTGCGCACATTTGGGCATGCCCTCCCTTAAAGGGTGACGATTATATCTTCTACGCTAAGCCCGAGGATCAGAAGACTCCAAGGGACTCAAGACTAAGACAATGGTACATCGATATGCTTGTGGAATGTCAACGGCGCAATGTAGTCGGGAAGGTTACCAACATGTATGACTTGTATTTTGCAAATGATTCCCTAGATGCAACTGCAGTTCCTTACCTAGAGGGGGACTATTTCCCAGGGGAAGCAGAGAACATCATCAAGGTGCTCGAAAATGGAGGGAACAAAAAGGGCGGAAATGCAGGGAAAAAGAGTAAGAAAAAAAACCAGGCAAAATCCAAGAGCCGAAGTGGAACTCGCTCAACAGGTATTAATGAAGTGGCCGGAAGCGCGGAGAACAGGAAGAGTACTGTGGAAATTGAGCGAGACCAAGTAATGGTGAAGCTTGGTGAAACCATCAAGCCTATGAAGGAAAGTTTTATAGTTGCATTTTTGAATTGGTCAGAAGCCTTGAAAGAAAACATGGAAGTACCTGAGGTTGTACTGAAGTATCGGTCAGAGCACCCTGAGGCGATGGTACCTTTGCTAACTGGTAGAAAGCGTGACGCCAATGGAAACATACGTGAATTGGATGGGCCGCTAGATCGCAATGGCCGACCTATAAAGGTAATTGATGACGATGTGGAAGATCTTGATTGCGAGTTTCTAAACAACAGGCAGGCTTTTCTCAATCTCTGCCGAGGCAATCACTATCAATTTGATGAACTTCGTCGGGCAAAGCATACGTCAATGATGGTTTTGTGGCATTTGCATAACAGAAACGAACCCAAGTTTGTTCAGCAGTGCGTGCATTGCAATCGAGAAATCCTAAGTGGTATGAGGTATCATTGCGCCATTTGCAGTGATTATGACTTGTGTGAGAAGTGTTACAAGGATCCCAACACAAATCGTGGATCATGTACACATAAGCTTCATCCAATTGCGGTGGAGAGCGAAGGGGCACAGGAGGGACAAGGAAATTCCAATGGTGTAACGGCGCAACAGAGAAAACAACGGCAGCGAAATCTCCTTCTACATATCCAGCTGATTGAACATGCTTCAAGGTGTAGCTCCAGTTCCTGCACTTCGACTAATTGCGCTAAAATGAAGAAGTATTTGACGCATGGGAAAACCTGCAAGGTAAATCCATCTGATTCCTTACCTATCCTACTAGGGTATACCACTTTGTTAACACTTCTGTTTTCTTTGCAACTTAGATAAAGGTTCAAGGTGGCTGTAGAATTTGCAAGCGCATCTGGACACTATTGCGAATCCATGCTCAAAAATGCAAAGATGAAGTATGCCCCATCCCACAGTGTATGGTGATTCGTGAGAAGATGCGTGAGTTGCAGAAGCAACAACAAGCAATGGATGATAGACGAAGACTGGAAATGAATCGTCACTATCGTATGACAATCACAGGTACTGATGGTCTCTAGGACTAATGTTAAATCTGAATTTGTCACTTATTTCCCAGTTCACAAACATGTGCCAGATGAATGGTTCAACCTTGTACTGTATCTGTTGAAAATGGAGTTTTGGACAAAGGAAAGACAACAGGCTTCTGCAAAGAAGACTGTTTCATTCCTTATTATAGCCACAGAGAAGGCTGCAAGACGGGAAATTTTTGGATATAGATAGGATCATAGATTCAGCAATAATAATAACTGAGACGTTAATCGTTAGGATGCTAATCTATGGGCATTCGATTGCCCGTGAAATATTTGGCTGTATAGGTCAAGATTCAGCAGGATCTCATAGACTCCCACTTGCCTATGAACGACTACGACAGCTTGTTTGTCCTTTGCTTGATTAGAGATGGCAGCCATTGTGTAATGAGTGACTATTTACTGGAGCCCGCTCTGCTTGCCAAAGCCCTAACCAATAGGTGACAGAATTCTATCAGGAACGGGATTCATGACCCGGACCATAATCATTCACAGTTGAAGTGAAGCCTGTGGGTTGTACGCATCGTACCAGACCGCTCTCAGCCAGTGATATTATTGTAGAAAGAACTGACATGGCAGATTCTGTAATGATGTGTAATATTCTGCATGAAACAAGTGAGGATCCTCCGATCCTCACTGCATGCTTTTTACTTGAATTGATATCGGTCATCTTGTAGGAAGAAGTCAACTATAGGCTTATAGTCTATATTCATTTATTTCTGTCAGATTAACAGCTGCAGTTACGCCTAGCTACAGCTAACTGCCACAATTTTGCCATCAGATATCGCCCATCAGATCGTCTTCATTCATCAACAAAGACAATCAAATTTTTGGAAGTTGTCCCATCATCAGAGATGACCTACACAACAACTCGCAGATCGATTTCAAGCGTCCCGCAAGTTTTACCCCCATTTGAATTGAATGATTCTTTGGGGTTTACATACCCATACTTTTCAGTTTGAGTGAAGAACTTGTCAACAATTGGCAACGAGTTATTTTCAAGTTTTGGTCCCACGGCGACTCAGAGTTTTTCATTGATAAAAGACTCCAATCAGACAACTGATCTTCTGATCAACTAAGTCGACTGAGTTCCATTCCTTTGAGTCAACTCGCGAATGGTCCGGATCGGCCAAAGAGAATTGCAAGCTCTGAACATTGACACCAACACCACTCAACTGCCCGCCACTAGTACTACTCAACCGTCAGGCACACGAGTGACAATTTCCACTGCTGGCAACTCAACAACAAACCGCAACCCATCTTGAGTCCTACAACCTTGGCATCTTGAAACAAGTCTTGTGTACATCCTGGAAACTATCTTTGGCTACAGTGCTGGCAGGGAGCATCCTTCATCTTGCACTTGACTTATACGGTTGCAGATGTTACCTCCATCTTGTTGGCATGGATGATGCCGATATTGACGGTCTACAGTATCCTGTCAGTCAGCCACGTGACGCCAACGGTGATCCCCAACCTGATGTACTTTGGGATGTGCCAAAACCACTTAAGGCATATCTCCATGAGATCCGTGGCTAGGTGGTAGACCAAGAAACTGTGCTTAAGGACCCAGTCACTCTGACTAGCTGTATTCTCATTGACCCTGATGATTCTGAGACATACAGGGCCGCGCATTCATCGTGTTCCATAGCCGCACCATCCTACAGCCTCTTGTCTCCAAGCCATCTCAACGTTCACCAGCTGAGAAATTTGATCTGGGCATTAAACTAGATGCTAATCTCTATCCAACTTTTCTGATGATAAGCAATGGGATAGTTACTGTTGTAATCTAGAAGCTACTTGTTGCACTCACGGATTGAAACAGGTCCTTGACCCCAAGTATCAGCCCACCAGCCTCGATGAGCGATACCTCTTCGACAGACACCAATCCTTCTTGTATCAGGTGTTTGTCCGGACCCTCCTCACCGATCAAGGCAAGAAGATTGTTAGACGATACGATAAGACTTATGATGCCCAGTCCATCTACCGGGATCTATGCAAGTTTTATACTCAGTCTCTCAAGGCCAATTCGACTGCTAACACCAAGTTGCAATGGTTAACAACCGCTCAACTCACCGCCAACCAATGGCCCCGTAGTCATGTGTCCTTCATTCTCCATTGGCTCAATACTCTTTGCCAGCACCATGAGGTAGCAAAACACCCGACCCCCGAGGAGCAACTCATCGTCATGTTGTCCAATGCTGTCAGACTTGTGCCATACCTTTGCAACGTGTTTGAAACTAGCCAACAATAGGCCTTGCAGAACAACAACAGACCACTTACTTTTGATGAGTATGCGTCACTCCTTGAGACAGCAGCCCAAAACCATGATGAGGTAAAAGGATCCAAGCCCAAAGCCGATCCTAGGAAGGCATATGCTACTGATGTTGTTACCACTGGTGATCTTGAGCCGGATCCTGGCCTTTCCATGTTTGACTTCAACATTGACACGGACCTTGGCGACTACTACGCTTACCGTACGTGCTTGCCATTAGTACGCAAGACCTTTCTGCCTAGCAAACTGTGGCAACAGTTAGATGATCAAGGTCGACGTGCCTGGCATCCTTGGTCATAACGTGACTGACTGGACTGCCGAGTCCCGAGCAGATGTATTAGAGCAATCGAAGGCCAATGGTCATCGCCAAATATTCAGCACAAGATCAATCATCCATCATCTACTCACAGCTGCTTCAGACCCCTGTAAATCAACCCTGAATGGGACCAAACTCTATTGGATCCCAACATTCACAGGCTGGACGAACAGAGCAAAGATGAGGGACCATTCGATAGAATAGGCATCCTAAAGAGTAGTAAAACTATTTTAACTCTGAATGAAGCCTCTGAAGATGAGACTCTCGACCAACCAGATGATTTCGACACTGCTATGGATCTGAATGACACTGGCATTGGTAATGCCACACTCGTCTCCAACCTTGACTGGGATCAAACTTTATTGGACCCACACAGTGGCGATCTTGGCCGTAGTGTCTCTGCCGACAGCACTAGCCACGGCTTGCTCCTTCAGTTGCCAGAAGCGAGCATGGGGAGTGATTCTGATGCTCTTCTTCCTGAACAAGATGAGACTGACGAGTACCCAATGGATTTGGAGAATGGGGAGCAACAGTGTGTGATGTCTGATAAGTTGGCTGTTGTACCGGCTACCAAACGTCCACCGCCTACACCTTAACAAGAAGCCAAACAACACGAGTTCACGTTTTATGGGGTAAAATATAGATCAATTAATAACCATAATGTTATCTATTCTATTCAGAAAGCCAACACTCATAAACATCTAGCTTTGATTGATAGAGGTGCCAACGGCGGCATTGCTGGAGACGATGCCCGCATCATCATTGCCATCATACGCCAACAAGCCTACATTGGAAAGGGCCAATCCATTCTGTCCAACGGACAAATGGAACATTTCAAGATCGTCGTGGACGACAAGTCTACCAAAGTTGGTGGTCAACAGCGCTTGACAACACCAGATGGCTTCGTCTTACCACTTGACATCAGCAATGGCCTCCCATATCTGTGAATGCACCCACCAACAGATCGTGAGCTGAGTAATCCTGACATTCCACATGTCGTACTCACCTATGACACTGATTGGGATCCATGTGTACTGGATCATTTGGTCGACGATATGGAAGAATGGGCAAACTCCGTTCCCAACTGCGATCCTGAGGATGAGGAACGCCTGCTTGATCTTGTAGGAGTTCGTAAGAATTATAAAGCTGTTACTTCTTTTAAGGATTCTAAACTAGATGAAACTACTGATTTCTTTGAGAACTTCTTCCAACTGATGGACTGCACGAACAGCACCATCGAGCGTTCGACAACCTCACATGGTTTGACTGCAACATGACCGACCTATTTGGCTTTGACGCAGCACCAGAAGATTCACCCATCCCTGAGTGTTTCGAGGTCTACGAAGCTCGTAAGCCCCCTTCAATACTGTTCAGCCCAGGCCAATCGGTCAACTACGATATTGAGTCAGCTCCCTTGAAAGACAGCTCTTTCAAGGACCTCATCCTCGATTCGGACAAACCGACTAGGAAGACACCTCATGGGGAGTTGGATCGTCGTCCACCGCCAAGAGTACATTTCAATGATACTCTGACTGTCCATGAGAGTACTAGTTGAATCCTAATTACTATAAAGAAGTCTACTCTAGACGATGCTGTTGCTTTCTTTACTGACTTTGTACTGGAAGACGACTTGCTCCAACAGATGCCGGAAGCGAGCATGGGGAGAGATGATGCTACTAGTGCTCTTCCTCCTGAACATGATGGGAACAAGTCAGATAGAGAGCCCGACCAAACAATAGATGAGATAGCCACTAACAAATCTATTTTGGTTTGTACTCTTGGGATCCTTGAAGCTACCCTGGACTGTACTCTTGACTCCCTTGGGCCACTCGACTTTGATCTGATCGATCGTGGATTGAGCACCGCTAACATTCCAAATGCCGCGCTCTTGAACGTAGCATGGAAGATCCTATCAACCCGGATCGCACCAGTGTAACTCAAGTCGCACCGCCAGAGCTTGAGGTCTATCAGTCTCACAAGCAACCCTTAACTAAAGAGGCGCGCTTTGAGCTGGTGTTGTATCAATCTCACAAGCAATCCTCAACCCAAGAGGCGCGCTTTGATGATGATACTCGAAAGCCTGACGGGAGAAATGGTCCACCACCTTACAACAGCTTTGAGCATGGATTACAACCAACTGAGGTTGAACTGAAGAACCCAAGCTCGGCTGTGAAGTCTCGTGAACGCGATTGGGAGCGCCTTCGCAGCTACTTTGCATGGTTGCCCAAGCTAGTCATCCAGAAGAACTCGGAACACTACTTGGAAGACTCAACTCAACTAGCTACGATAACTACTATAGATATTACAGTATTGGCGCCTTCCAACTTTGTATCTACTTCTAGAGCTAGTCACCAAATCCGAGCCCGGCAATGCCGCAGCTTCCTACTTGCTGGAAAGCACAGATGCAGCAAACGTCATGGCACTGAATCGCCAAGCTACAATGATAGTATCATTGAGCGGTCTCCAGGCCTATACCACCAATGTGCTTGTAGCGGAGCTAACCAAAGTCTTCGCTTCGATGGCACAGCTACAATAAGCTCAAGCGACAATACAGTCACACATGGGCTCACTACAACTACAATCAATGACAATCAATGGTATAGGTCTTTGTCACTGTACATTGGCAGTGAGCGACTTCCTCCATTGGACATACATTGATGACTGGACAACTTTGCCAATTGGACAGAAGCAATTTGAACGAAGACTACTAGCTAAGACTGAAATGGTAAAAATTATCCACTTGGCAACTTGTCTATGTACCAACGCTGTCTACATGAAGCAATCGATCACTTCAACTGAAGACCAAATGGATTCTGACCATATTGTTGCTCAGATTCATGGGGAGCAGACAACTGGTCTGCAACACTGCTCGAAGGCAACAAGCCACTCCTTGATGGCTTGCCTCAGCATATAACTAAACAGTACAAGACGACATTGTACGAACTACACATATGGCATACCTTGTTGCCATTACATCATGTGAACGAAGTTTTTCACCTGAAAAGGTTTTCTTTGCCTCATATTGATGGACCCAAGACTACTGAGACTGTTACCAACACTGTTACCAACAGCACATCAAGACCCAATACAAACCCGCACAAACGACATATTGTACTGTCGTTCCACCGTGTTAGAGAGGCTATTGCATCCAATACGCTCTCCTTTCTACACATTGAAGGTGCTAAACACCCGGCCGATATCCTTAGCAAAAGATATCAACAAATATGGCCACAGCTACGTACACTACTTTCCTGAGTAGATGACACAGCTGAGGAGGATTAGGTCCTCACTCACTCCCCCATTCAGGGAGTGATAGAATTGTATCAAGAACGGGTTTCGTGACTTGGACCAATACGATTTGTACGTTAGCGGTCTTATGGGTCTTATAGAAATTAATAGTAAAATAGATATGATGACGCGTCATCGGATGAGAACAGTTGGAACTTTGCGCACCAAGCGCATCAACTGTTTGTATAAAACTCAAAAATCAAAAATCAAAAACTAAAAGGTAGAAAATATTCTTCCACACGCTTCTCCAAAACAAAACTGTACCAGTCCTACGCGTTTCGTACGTAAAGGAAAACAGTTGTTGTTGTT